TTTTTGTGTTTCTTTTTCCCTTTTTTTTTTCTCCGTCTCTATAAAATTAGCTGGTGTGGGGGTGTGGTTGTTTATGATGATGATGATGTTACTCTGTCAAAGTCGTGATGAGACGGCAGTCATCGCACCACACCTGAAAACCCCACACAAATGTATTAACTTTACTTTTCTTTTTAACCTTCCCCTGCTTTCTTAATCTGTTTTCGCTCACTTCACTGTCTAAATTTTTGATGACATCTATTTATTACACCCATAATTACCGTACGTTTTCATCCTAAAATAAAGGGAAAAGAATTGGGTCTCTATTTTCTGTTGATTTTTAAGGGTCATTGTCTGTTTTTTTCTTTTTCTTTTCAACTGTATTTGGTAAATTTACTAGTTTGTAGAAATACGTTATTGGATTGTAGCTTTTCTTGGGGGAGGGAGGGTTGGTCTGGTTTTCCAGAAATTGACTCGGTGGTTGAGAGATTTCTTAGGCCATCACTTTCGCGGGGACAACAGAATTGAGGACTGAGTCAAGTCAATGCATTGGGCGGACCGTGGGTTGAGTATGGCTTGGATGCTTCCGGAGAAGGTCAACATGCTCACTTATTTCCATCCCACCTTGTCATCATCTCGAACTGGAATGGTTGGTTGTGTCAACACATTTCTTTACACATAAATGATAATTATGTAAAAGTAAAATTTATTTTTAGCGTCTCAGTTAATTTGTCTTTTTTAAAAAAAATCTCTTTTATGTTTTTCCTATGTGTCTCTTTCTCTATTTTCTCTCTCGATCTCTTCTATCATAGTATGGTAACTTGCAAGTTGCTTAACATTCATGCCTACTAAGTTTTACAGATGGTTAAGTTGAGAAAAATATCGATAATGGTAATATGTAAATCACTGGTTCGTCTCTCTGAAACCTAATATTTACGAATAGTCTTGATGAGGGAGACTTGGTACACATAAATGTTAATTATGTAAAATTAAATTTAGTTCAACATATGTTCTGGTAATGGTGTATGCATGTATTAATTTAACACGACTCCTATTGTTGTATGTCATTTTTAGCGTATAAGTTAATTTGTCTTTCTTTATCACTCTTCTATATTTTACTCTTTATCTCTGTCTCTTTTTCTACTTTCTCTCTCTGGATCTCTACCTCATCGAACCGCATATATGGCCAGCTAGGTCCCTGGCAGATAAGTGGTCACCAATTATAGGTTTTTACAGAATGTAAAATCCACTACTAACTTTAATAAATAATAAAAAAGTCATATTTTGAGAAGAAAAAAATCCCACTGCTAATATATAGTATAATCCTTTTTAATAAAAACTTCATACCTACTAGATTTTGCAGGTGGTTAAATTGAGAACAATATCGATATTAATAGTAATGGGTTAATAGTCCTTCTCTCTAAAATCTAACATATGTGAGAAAACAACATTAATTCCTAAATTTAATATTGAATTTAAATTACTAATACATTAAATATATTACTAGTCGTAATTCATAAAAAGAAAACAACATTAATTCAAAAATAGATTACAAGTCGTAAAATAGATTACTAATACGTTAATGTTGAATTTAATATTTAATTTCAAATAAATTTCTAAATTAATTCCTACATCCATTACAACCATTTGAAAATCTTTCCAAATTCAACGTGTGTCATTAGTTACACCCCCCATAATACATTAAGTCATAAATATGGATAGTTTTGGAATCCAAAAAATACAATAAATAAGATTTTAAGTTATATTAGGTAATTTGCTTAGTTGGATCTTGGTCATCGGGTATTATTTGAAAAAATTGGGTATTTTAAATAGAAAACTAAATGAAAGAGTTTTAGGTGATTTAAAATGAATTTTATGGGTCTAAGCTCAATTTACTAATAATAAAAAAAGTCATATTTTGAGAAGAAAAAGAGTCCACCGCTAATATATAGTATAATCCTTTTGTAATAAAAACTTCATACCTACTATGTTTTGCAGGTGGTTAAGTTGAAAACAATATCGATATTAATAGTAATAGGTTAATAGTCCGTCTCTCTAAAATCTAACATATATGACCTCGTTGACTACCCAAATAGTCTTGGTAAGGTAGATGTAGGGTAGACGTTGTAAATTAGGAATTTCCTATGTGATATGGATAGGATCCACCATGTAATATACTGCAAAGGAGAGCCTTAAAGACTTAAAGCCCATGGTGTCCTGCTTGTAGTGCCACTAGGGATCATCATCATTTGGCTTGGAGCCCGCGGGCCGAAGTGTGCCTCCACATTTGGTAAGAGATAAATCTCTCTCTTCTATTTGGATGGAGGTCACTATTTGTAACCATTTGAGAGAGCCAAAAACATCTAAGGTGAGGAAGTGTGACTCACATCATTTGTAAGTGAACAGAATCTTCTCTTTTTGTTTTGGATGAGTGTCACACTGTTTGTTGCTTATCTTTGGTTGTGAGTTTGTTTGCTACAACATTTGTGAGAGAAAAGGATCATTTTCTCTTTTGTTTTAGCTGCTTCAAATTTGGTATTGTTCTCTCTTTTAGTCTTTGACTTTGTGAGCAAGAATATGAAGTTTGTTCTTGACTCATGTACATGAGAGTGATTTGGGTGTGTGGGATTTGGGTTTGTGAGAGTTATAAACACTATTTTGTAATCTTCTTTAGCATTAGTGAAATTTTATTGCCGTCTTCAAACTATATGTAGGCACATAATTGAACTAGTATATCCTTTGTGTATTGCTATGTATTTGTCATATTTTACCTTTGCTTGTTATCAATCTCATATTTGATGCTTCTACACCATATCAATTGTCATTTGTTTGACAAGATCAACCCCCATATATAAAATCAACATATTCAAAAGTAACACTTGCCACAATATTGACTTGATTAGTTCGATGAGTTCATAATCAATTGCAACATCACGATTGATAAATTTTTCAAGAACTTTATCAATGAATGTACATCTCTTCTTTGGCATCTTCATGGATAAATTGAAAGCTGCAATCTTCAATATTATTGTGCAATTATAGTTTGTAGGACTTGTTTTCCCCCTCATCTCTATGGTAGATTGTGAGGAGAAGAAAAATACTTCTTATTTCAATAAAAAGTTGAATTCCTGAAGTAAGAGCAGATAAGGTAATCAAAAAGAAAAAAAAAATTATTCTGCAAGATACGTACACGTACGAGAGAGCTTAAGGCACATACATTAGCAAAAAACACTTATAATATCCAAGTACATAATTTATTAAATCGCACACAATTCACAGATAAACATATGTAATTGCACAGGGTTGGGGAAAGGTGACATTGTACGTGTGAAAAAAGCGATGTCTAAATTTTGTTAAATGTGATTTCAACCCCATCAACTGGTCTTGGATGTGAAAGATAAATCAGTTCTGCATCTGGATTGAGCAATTCCCACCTGAATTCATTTAAAACAAAACTCAGCATGCAGTGCCTATATATATATATACAGTTATTCTCTTATCCGGATGTCCGCACGTTATTATCGTGCGGATCCTATTGTAAACAGGCAGGAAAACAAAGATGGGTAGTACAAAATACACTGCGTCCGCACGATAATAACGTCCGGATGTCCGCATAAGAGAATTTCTGTATATATATATATTTGAAAAATTCAAAACTCAAGAGCGTATACAAATGATGAGTTGGGTTTGCTCACTTGTATCCTGTAGACAAATGATGTAACAAGATTGCAAGTTGAATCCTAACAAGCATGTTCCCAGCACATATTCTTAGCCCACCACCAAAAACTTGGTACGTTCCAGGTTTAGCTGGTTCCTAAAATTAATTAGGAGAGTGAAAGTATATATATAACTTATTAGTTAATAATCGACAATAATTATTTCTTAATTAGTAGAATTAACTACCTACTAATTACTTGTATATATGTAGACTTACATTCCATCTATCTGGGTTAAAGCACATGGGATCATCAAAGTTCTCTGGATTTGTGTGCAGATATCGAACCCAAAGAATCACATGCCAACCCTTGGGGATTTTATAACCTGCATCATGCATGAGTTTACGGGCACTTAATTACCACGCATGCATCTAATTATTTTATTATCTTTAATTGCAGCAACAAATTCACGTTAAAATAGTGTACGTACCTTTATACTCAGCTTCCTTGGTAGCCAATCGGAAGAGAATCTGTGCAATGTTGGCCATTCTTATTGTTTCTTCCACCACCTGTACGTATTGTATGTAAAAAGTTTGTTTTTAAGATTAATATTTCTAGGTGAGATGAAAAAAATTAGGACTAACGATAAATTGATGAAATTGAAACTCCGGAGCTCATGTTGAGAATGACCCCAAACATTCAGGGGGTCTTTTGTCGTTCGCCCAAAAAATTATATATAATATATAATATTACCTTGTTTGTGTATTTCATTTTTGAAACATCTTCACTTGTAATAAAATCTCCTGTCTTGGTCTGACTTATAGCCAAATTCTCCTCCTGTAAGTTAACTACTTTAATATATTTTTCTTTTGTACATTATTAATGAATTAATTAGAATATGGGAAATTTATTGGTCATACGTACCCGAAGCTTTTCTAGAACGGTAGGGAATTTAGCAAGATAATATATAGCCCACATTGATGCAAGGGAAGTAGAAACATATCCACCAACAACAAGGCTCACAATGTTCTCTATCACCTCTTGGTCACTTAGTTTATCTCCTTCATCATCATCTTTGATTTGCATAAGGCCATCCATTAGATCATTTGTCACCACTTCTTTTCGGTTTTTTCTCTTCTCTAGCTCCGACCCGAAAATCGCCTCAAGCTTCTTCCTACACTGAAAATTCATTCACATTCGTACTTTCTCATTGGACATAATGTTGAAGTTAATGTTGAAGTTATAATGTTTAGTGGAATATTAGGAGTTAAGATGAAAACCTGAAGAGCATGGTGAAAGGCAAATCCAGGAATGTTGAATGGTTGAGCTCTAACTCCTTTCACCAATCCGTCAAATAACTTATCAACGGTGTCGAGGAGAGGTCCCGGCTCCAAACTTAGGAATAGTTGTCCAATATTTTCGAATGTTAGCTGCAAGAATATATGAGACATACACTATCACTTTTATGGTACAAAATCAACTCTAGCTATAATATGAAAATTTGAGCAATTAGGCCTCATTGGTATGTTGAAGAATTTGGTTCTTTTTCCTTGAATTAGGCAACTTATGAATATACGTAAGGCCACGTGTAAGATAAATGTATTAAATCAACGTACAAATGTAGCTACAAATATAAATGTACAAGTATTTTATATATAATTACTTGTTCTTGTGTGGTGCTGGAATACGTACGGTCACGTGTAAGTGGATATGCATTATAGTATATATATAAGTACTTAGATCTTGTCATCAATATTAGATATGTATTGATATTATTATACCTTAAAAGTTGGAAATATCAACCACATCGTCCTCATATTATAGCACGTGACGTCAAGTTATACCATGTAGCCTTATTTCAGTATCCACCAATAATTTATCATGTCATTGTACTAATTAAATCACTAAAATCAAAATTAACCTAACGAGCAGTTTTGATTCATTTTAAGGATGACAATGTAATTTCCTTTTTTTTGTTTCCTTCCTTTTCTCTTAAATCACACTGCTTTTGACAATTTTACCTTCTTAGTTTCATCATATGCTTTGATTCTACCCTTCAGAGCCCATGACTGAAGTACAGCCACCATGCGGGGTTGAACGAAGAGAGCAACTCGCCTGAGAGCGTCTGGCTGATTAATTGCATTTGTAACGTAACTTCTAAGCCTTGCATGAGGCTTTCCATGAACTGCCACCAACGAACTACGACCCATAAGATCAACGGTGGGCCAATCTAGGATGAAAGTATCCAATGATTGAAGTACAAATTTGTTCACCGCTGGGAAGCATGTTATGATGCAGGGTGATCCAAAGAGGTGGCTTCTATACATCCCTGCTCCGTCACCGTACCTGATCAATTGCCAATGATGCTCAATGCATAAATTTTAACAGGGGTGCCCATGCTAAGCATATAGGAAAAATGCAGGAAGATAATACGTACTTGGACCGCTTAGCATTGATAAATTCATCTGGACGGCGAAGAATTTTAAAGTAGTATAGGAAGGTGATCATTTCACCTAAAAATGGAAACCCCATGTGACCGGGCGGAAGTTTGCCGCCGGTGGTGGTAGCTAAGTGTTGTAGTTTTAGAGGAAGCACATACCAAAGCTCATTCCACCACCACAAGAACAGCCCCAGTAGTGGCAAACCTCCCAAAACCAAAGCCAGCCACATCCCCATAGAAAACTCCATGCTTAGCTAATAAGATACCAAATAATTAAGCACACATACATACAAAATATGATCCCCTTTGGCTCCTGTCCTAGTGTGTAGCTAAGAGCAATGGCAATCTAGTTCTCCATTTTATAGTTGTGGTTGATTCCGAGTTCAATATTCTCCTGACTCGGAGTGAGCAAATGGACAAGGGCGCTAGTCGATTGTTGGGACCTACAACACTGCCACTAGTGTGGATTACGGTCTTCCATAAGAGGACTTAATTATGTGTAACGGAAATAACATCCAATAATGGTCCGTCATAGAGTCTTTATCATGTGTGGTGGAATGTGATTGATTGGGGATAACAAAACAGTGTTAAGCTTCTGAATTATATATTATCAGAATAATGGTCCATCAAGGAGCCTTTATCCGTCATGAAGTCTTTTATATATTATCATGTAGGTTCTTGCAATCAGTGTTAAAACGGGAATCAAATGGGAAAAGAAAGACAAAGCAAAGAAAAAGGGTACAACATCTTACAGGGCTAAATTGTAGCAATGGGTCTTGAATTATACTGCAATTTGCATTTTTGTCATTGAGTTCCAATAATACTTGTTGTTATCCTTAAATTTGGGCTTGTGTTGCACCATTGATCCTTTCCGTCAACTCCGTTAACTTTTTTGTCTAATATGGGGCAATGAAGAATTTCACCTGCCAAACCCCTCTGTATACCCATCCACCTCCAAGCCACACCCGAACCGATCCCATCCCCAGGCACATCCAGCAGCCCGCCACACTCTCTCCAGCTCCACTATTGAGCGACAAATTCCCTACTTCTCTCTTTTTTCTTCCCATTTTAGTTTTGAATTCTTTTTAAAATTTTATTATGTGTAATTCCTCATTCGCCCCAACATTTTACCCAAAAAAATTGAGGAAATTGACCAAAATGACCAATAGTGTAAGACAAAACCTAATTTAAGAACGATAGCGACTATTATATTGAGTTGAAGGACGGAAATGCAAATCATGTTATAATTCATGAACGATTGCTATAATTTAGTCTTCGATCTAGTTAAATGTTAGTCTAATTATTTGGTATGTAATATTAGTTTGTGATCTGAAATAGTTAATGAGAAATTCAATATTTCTTATACATCTCTGCTTTTGTTCAGAATTCTCTCTCTCTCTCTCTCTCTCTCCTTTTTTTTGTTTTTTCTTGTGAAGCAGCTTGGTTCACCTGAACTTGATCAACTTGCAGTTAATTACTATTTCCGCCTCTGGATAAGCCAATGATTCCGATATATGAAGATAGGGACTGCACATGTGTATGCCTGACAAGTTAATATGAATTCTCATCTGTGGGCAGATATATGTGTCGTTATTGCAAATTTACAGTACATGTACGCATGCACTTATGTAATAGTAACTTTATAAATTTGTTACAGTTATGTATGATAGATTATAAAGAGAGGAAAAAGACTTTATATCTATTTTTGTGAAAAGTTCAATGATCTTATTAAAGTAAGAACATAAGGTAATCTTTCCCTCAATAGAAAAATGTATTCTGCTATAGACTTTACTGAGTTCCAGATCACAGGGTGAAAAGAAAAACAGCGTTAAGCTTCATTGAGCCTACTGCTATCTGCTATATATATATATATATATATATATATATATATAGAGAGAGAGAGAGAGAGAGAGAGAGAGAGAGAAGGCTTTGTCTGAATGACAGATCATGTTCCTGGGATTAGATGTCATTAATCAATTAGTTCAACTAACCCAGAACACAAGCCATGAATATTCTTGACAATGGTCAAGCAAAGTATAAACCCACAGAACAAGTTATATAAAAGTTCCAAAATTAAAGCGCCTATAGCTAGATCTTGTACTAATATTTAAAAGTGCACATATGCTTTGCACTGGAAGCTAAGAAACTTAAAAGCTAAAAAAAGAATAAGAAAAAGTTGCAAAAGCTTCACTGACGCAGCATGTAAAGTTCCATGCAATTTGCCCTACAAAAACCCCTGTCAGGACACCTTTCATGTCATCCCTTTTCCTTCTCCTAACATCCCAGTTAAACTGAGGTTTTCAAAGTTTTTAGTGGAAAATACAAGAGCATCTTTTTTGTTCATCAACACCAATCTAGATGCTGATGGACAAACACAGAACAATAGAGAAGCAAACACAATGCCAAGATGTGTAGAGTGACAAACTTACTGTAACATTAGCACCTAGATCACGATGATTTATGAAAGACCGACCATTCAACCTGTCATGGCTTCCACCAAGATAAGGTACCAATCGCTTGACATCACTCATCACCTTAGGAGTAATCCCCATTCTAAGATTCAATCACAAGAGCAATGTTGTATTTTCTGTGCTGATGCTTCTATGCGTCACGCTGTTGATACAGAGGAGTGGTGCAGCTGAGTTTGCATTAAGTTGGAGTACTCCGAGTGCCTCTGCGCCTCACTATGATCAATGGGCTGAAAATAACAGATTTCAAATTGGAGACTCCATAGGTAAATTTTGAAGCTTTATCTTCAGCAAGGCTGAGTATATAATATTTGTTTTTCAACCTTCAACGGATCATTACTTTGAGGAAAGAATCATTATTATTATTATTATTATTATTATACTATATGTCCAGAACTAGTTTCTGAGCTGAGTTGCAACATGCATTATTTAGAACTTGAAATTCATTATTTTAGTGTACATATATAACACCACTGTTACGATAACATGACCAAATATATAAATTATAATTAGTGTAATTAAGAGTAATTTTCATCTTGTTTGACAGTTTAGTATATCATATTGCTAAGCAGCCTGATTAATTCGATGAAATCATGTCAGTCTGTCAACCATGTTAAATATCTAGTAAGAGATCATTTTAAGATACTTGCCAAAGCATGGGGGCTTATAGCCCCAGTGGTAGTGAGCATTTATCCCTCATCGAAGGCCAAACCTCGACTCCCCCTCTTCCCTTTTAGTTTTCCTTGTAAACCAAGAAAAAAACCTAACTGATTTACTTGAAACTACTTCAACTGCAGTTTTCAACTACTCTCCTGGCCAAGACTCAGTGCTTAGAGTAAACCAGGACGACTATACAAATTGCAACACCGATGCCCCTACTGCGAAATATACTGATGGCCACACTGCCATCACGTTCGACCAATCTGGGCCATTTTATTTCATCAGTGGCAACAAAGACAACTGTCTCAAAAATGAGAAGGTGGTAGTGATTGTGTTGGCAGATAGAAATAGAAATGCAACTGCCCCTTCGCCTTCAAACTCAACTGATATAACCCCATCTCCAGCTCCTGCCGGTGAAGCGTCTCCACCTTCACCAGATACAGGGGTGGTCGAGAACCCTACTCTAGCTCCCGAAAGCCCTCCTCCACCTCCCAGCGGGGCTTCTCCAGTTTTCATGAGTTTGTTGGGGTCCATTGGAGCTTTTGCTGCATCCTCATCACTTTTACTACTCTAACTGGATATTGGATTGTTTGAGTATAAAGTTCGTTTCTCCTTTGCGAGTTTCCTTCCTCTTTTTTTTTTTTTTT